TTTTTTTTTTTTTTATTTTTTGTTTGTGTTCCATAATTTGGCAAATTATTTCAACTAAAAAGTTCACGAGAATGGTTTTAAAAATTTAAATTCCAACTTTGATATTCTTTATTCAGTATGCAGTTAGCAGTTAATTTGCAAAAAATAAGACAAAAAAGGATAGCGTATATGTGGATACAGAAGGTGGATTTCATACAAAACGTATCTGTGATATTGCAAGCAAAGTAATAGCATCAGTTGAACCGTTGGAATCTTTGAAACATATACGAGTTAGCCGTTGTCGTGATCTGGTTGAATTAATAAGTACTATTCATCGATTAGAATTGTTGGTGCAACAAAATCCAGAGGTTTATTAATTTTTTCTACTATCTATTTTTGTGTTTCATTATTTGTTAAAAAAAAAGAAAAAAATTCTAAGCCGCAGTGTATTTTTGAATGTTTTTCTGTGCAACAATATCTTAAGGTAAGAAGGTAGATTAAAGTTTAAGATCGTTTTATTGATATATCAAAACATATAAAACAAAAAAACTTTATATATACATATATATATATTTAAATTCGTTTAGCAAAGTAGTTTTCCAAACATAAAAAAGTATAGTTTTGAAGCATTAAAGTTTACGATCATTTTATTAATGTATAAAAATTAAAAATTCTTCTGACAATTTATATGTGGAACAGATTTTCTGAACTGTGATATAATTTTTATATCTATGCAGAATCAAAAATATAGAGGAAAAGAGTTATGTCATTTATTTTGATACCTTATTTGATTGTTGCACCACTGATGCATTAATTGTATTGATTTCATGTTTCATATCCTCTCGTTTCATAATGATTCATAGGTTCGTTTATTTGCTTTTCTAAGGGGTTGTGAAAAACCAGTGATGAGAAAAGCTGAAACTAGCAAGGTTTTTTTCAACACAATAAATGGAATAAAATTTTAGATTGGTCTTATTATTGTGGACAGTGTTGCAATGCCATTGCGCGGTGAGAATGATTATGCGTTACGATCAAGATTAGAGATTTCACGAATTCTTTCAAAATTAGCTGCTTCTTATAGATTAATTGTAAAATTTTAAATGTTAACCAGAAGTACACTCCTTTCAATGAACGATACCCACGATTGTTTTGTTTTTTTGATATGGGATTGTTTGAGTATTTCGTTTCGATGCTAAAAAAAATTTTCGAATTATTTCCACTGCTATGATTTACAACAATCTTTATTTCCGGTTGTTGCTGTAAATCATGTTACTTATCGTTTTGAAAATGAGGGAGATAATGAGGCGCATCTTGTATCTGCGTTGGGAACTTCCTGGTAATGTTTTGTTTTTGTTTTTTGTTTCATTAACTAGAAAGAACGTACATGTATATGTGGATAGATAAGTAGATAAACTGATGAATAGAAATTGTGGTCAAAGTCATGAAATTTCTGAAATCTTTATAATTAAATTTGCTGGAAAAGCTAAGGATTATGTTTTTTAGGTCTCATCGTCCAAATACATGTTTGTGGTTATGCCCACCTGATGCTAATTCACGAAATAGTTCGATTTTTCTGGCAAAATCACCGTCTGCTATGAATGGTTCCATACCATACAAAATAACGGTACATTTGTCTCGACATACCATACTTTTATCTTTTGCTTAGCCACGTGTTATAGTCATTTTATTAAATCATTTTCCTTTAAAATTTCTCGATCTCCTCTCTATTCGTTTTTTCTTTGCAGGAAGGTGGATTGGTGGAAATTGAACATGACATTGTTGTGTAGTTTAATTTATAAATAAATTTTAACAGTAAGCTGTTTGTTGCATTTTCGTGGCATTGTTGCGTATCATTCATGTATTTTCCATTGCAACAATCTAAATGTTTCAATTTTCGGGCTTTTTTTTTTCCAATTGCATGTTGAAGATGAAATTTCATGACTAAAACAGGTCATGATAGTCCTTCAGATGTTCATATCATCATATTATTAAAGTTGTCAAATTATAGACATGAAATTTCTTGCCGTTCTAGCAGAGAGTGGTGCAGCAGACACACTGTCAAGTAAGCTTCGTCATTACTTTGCTTTCTTTTTCTCTGCATCGCTTGATTTTATTGTTCAACTAAATTTCCACTGCTATCATCTTTATTTGCAATACAACTACAAAAGTTCAAGTAATATTTGTCGAATACATGCAGTGGTTATTGCAATATAATTTATTCCTGTTAAACATTCATTTCATGGTATCATATCTTTGAATATATCATGAATTTTTCTTCTGTCCTTTACAGAAATCACCGAATTTGTTGCAAAGTTATGCAAGGATAAGGTGACTTTACGAATTACATCCGATGCTATGTACTTACTTAATCCTTGCCCATTAGCTAATAATGGCAATTACTTGCAAATAAGACTTAATGTGGTAAGCTTTTTGAACTTGTAGGATAAAATATTATTGTATTTTTTTTTTTTAAGCTAGTTTGATGATGTCCGTATATATATATAT